AGTTGCTGATTTGATTCTCAGCTTCATCTACTCTACATTTCAGTTAGTGTAAACTGCATCTCTGACTGGTACTTTTTATTTTTTTAATCCTCACTCAAGGACATTTTTCCATTTTTTTTTTTTGTTTTTGTTTTGTTCAGATAGAGTGGGAGGGAGAGAGAGGAAGAGAGAAAGAGAGAAAGAGAGAAACATCGACATGAAAGGAACACCATCGAGTGGCTGCCTCCCACAAGACCCAACCAGGGCCGGGACAAACTGCAACCAAGGTACGTGCCCTTAGCAGGAATTGAACCTGGGTCTCTCTGGACTGCAGGCCGATGCTCTAACTACTGAGCCAAACCGGCCAGGGCCTGACTGGTACTTTTTAATCCTATTGAGGTTCTCACTAAATTCATTGAGCATCTTTATAACCAAGTGTTTTGAACTCTGCATCTGTTAGATTGCTTGTCTCCATTTTGTGTAGTTCTTTTTCTGGAGTTTTTTCTTTCATTTGGGACATGCTTGTCTTCTCATTTTGGCAGGATCCTGTATCTGTTTCTATGTATTAGGTAGAGCTGCTACATCTCCCAGGCTTCATACAGTGGCCTAATGTAGTAGGCAGTCTGTAGGGTCCAGTGGCACAACCTCCCAGATCACCCAAGCAGAGCACTCAAGGTGCACCCCCTCCCTATGTGGGCTGTATACATCCTCCTCTTGTAGTTAAGCCTTGATTGCTATTGGCACATCAGTGGGAAGGATTTACTCCCAGGCCAATCAGCTGCAAAGCCTGGCTGTGCCCACTACCACTGACCTCTGACTACCTGGAGGATCGGCTGTGCAGGGGCCCACCCCACATGGCAGGACTTACATTAGCAGGGCTCTGGTGCCTGCTGTCTGCTCCTTGAGTGTGTTGCTTGTGGAGGTGGTTAAGTGGTGATACTTTGACATGGTCTGAAGCTGTCCATGGGGTGTGCTGGCTCTGGGGCCTCCCAAGAGATGCAGGCCAAAGTCAGCTGCCACCTGTGTTCTGCCTGGGGCCACCAGGTATGAGCTACAAGGCAATCTGCAGATGGCTGCTACTTATGCTGATCTTGGAGGTGCCAGGCTAGGCCAAGCTGTGAACTAATGTATGCTGCCGCTGGTGCCGGGCCTGGGGCCACTTAGTGAGAGGCACAGGGTATGCAGAAGCCAGATGCTGCTTGTTTGAGAGATTTTAGGAAAATTTAAAGCATAAGCCAAGATAGGCCATTCATATGGAAAAGCCACTGGAAATAGCTTGGGTGGGCTGGAAAGCTGGATGGGGCGGGGCCTCAGGGAATCACCAGAGCAGGGCCAACAGTGTGAGCCGAGTTGCTGAAGTCTCAGATATGGCGCCTGCCTGCCAGCTCTGTGGGGGGAGGGCTCACCAAAGGAACAACAGCTTCTGCCAATACTTGTGTCTGGAGAAAGCTGTTCCCCAACCTCAGCTCTCTCCCTGATGCCAGACAATTCAATTCCTCCCTGTATGTCTCTGAGTAAACCCGCGTGTGGGCCCTGACACAACTGTCCCTGGAAAGTCCTTGTTTTTAGCTTTCCTCCCCACTCTAACTTTTTTTTTTATCCTCACCCGAGGACATTTTCCCATTTTTTGTTCAGATGGAGTGGGTGGGAGGGAGAGAGAGAGAGAAAAAAATCGACGTGAAAGGGACACATTGAGTGGCTGCCACCCGCACGACCAACCAGGGCCGGGGACAAACTGCAACCAAGGTACGTGCCCTTAGCGGGAACCAAACCCGTGTCTCTCTGGACCACAGGCTGACGCTCTAACCGCTGAGCCAAACTGGCCAAGGCCCCACTCTAACTTTTACCACACCTCAGTGCAGTTCTTTTTTATCTCTTTCACAAAACACTGCAATTGCTTTTAGCTGATCGTTTTGCTCCTTTTAATTAGCCTTTCCAATCAACCCTGCACCATGTTGGGAGAGAATTCTCCAAGAATATCTCCTATTCTTGCACTGTCTGGGGTCCCTGGGCATTTACATCAATTCAGGAGACATTATATAAGGAGACATTCCAGGGTAGTACAGCTCAGAGACCTCTCTCTCCTAAGATATTCCAGGGTAATAGAAGTAAACACTTTGCCTTCTTCTCCTCCCCAGAGATTTATTTACATTCCTGAGTATAGGTCTTTCTCCAGAGAGAAGTATGAGCAGGCCACCGGCAGCCACATAAGATGGAAGCCTAATTTGGGGGTTTCTCTCCTATAATGCACCCATTGTATGTGCAGGTACCTTCTGGCCCTGCTTGCATTGACCTGTGAGACTCAGGGAATCAACCAGGCTAACTTGTTAACCTATAAAAAGGGTGAAATCTCAGACTCTTCTGTTTCTGATTTAACACACCATCACCAAATTATCTTTCAAAAGATCTGCTTTGGCCATGCTACTTTCTGGGCTGAAACTCGTCAATGGCTTCCTACTACAGAACAAAACTCAAAGTCTTACCTGTCATTCCAGCTCCCTTACCAGCCTGTACCCCGAATTTATTCCCTAGGTAAACCCTGTGTTCTAGTCAATCTGGACTTTAAGATGTTTTCCAAACACAGGAATACACATCTGCCTAGAATGCTGTCATTAGGTTGCAGATAAGGAAAAACCTATGAAGCACCAGTGCACGAAATGCCATCGTGACCTTTGAGGAATGGTGAACCATACCACTGGTGTCTTTAGGTGCACTGTCATGACTCCTACCAGTGCACTGGTGGGAAACTGGCCTGCCCTTCAGCCTGGGCCTAATCAACTGACCTGAAGACCAGTGCTGCAGCCTGAGGTAACCACATTGTGGTTGGACATCAGGGAGCTGAACTACTTCTGGGAATGCTTGGCTTGGAACTCTGTCCAACAGGGGAGCCCTGCATTTGATGGCAGCCAACAAACCCAACATCTCCTACCATTTTAGTAGTAAAGTTTACAGGGGTAAGGAGGGACAGCCCAGATTCTAGTGTAAACAAGTGAGTTATGGTTTCAGTTATCCACCAGGCTTTCCATCCCAGTCTTAGCTCAGGACACATTTCTGGGTCTTCAGGCAATAAACTCCCAAACAAAGATAATATGGGTCTGCATTCTGCATTTTTCTTGCAGGCCTCAACTGCTTAGTTCAAGTGTCCTCCTCACCAATTTCTAAGATATGTGTACAAAGACACTGGTTGAAACACTGTGTGTAAACAGCAACATAAAAATATGCCTATTTAGATGAACTGATTATATTGTCATGTTTCTTCACTTGTAAGATGCATCCCACAGAGGCATAAAATATCAATAAAATGGTCCACAGTGGTTATATCATTGATTGTTCCAATATGTGAAAAAAATGTTCATTTTCGAATTAAAGAACTAAGGCATGGTACATCATAAAGTGGAACATTTTTGTAGCTGGGACAGGTAAATGGTACAAAGTGGGGCTGGTTTGGGGACATTTCCTTTGGAACAGGGATGGGGAAGAGCGGGGCAATGATTCCACACATCAGGCTACACTTCAAGGTGCCACAAATGGAGATGTGTATGGTGTTAACAGTAACAGTCTTTGCCTGAAAAATAAACTTAATTTTAAACTAGGTGGTGGACATATGGGTACATGTTTTTGTATTTTAATACTTTTGTGTATGTCTAAAATATGTTATAACAAATTCTTCTTTAAGTGGGTCTAGCAACCTATTTTATTGCCCCTGTTCTTTTGAAGAACGTGTGTCCAATGACAGCTTAAAAATCAATCCTATAAATAAAGGAGTTGAGTTAGCTCCACATGTTGACTATTAGGAAATAAAGAAATTAATCATTCCAGAAACAGCTGGTATGTACACATATTTACCTAACATACAGATCTAGATGATTATTGAAAACTTTGCTTTCTCTTTCTTTCCCAATACTATAAACCAGCGATTTTTAACCTTTTCAACCTTGTGGCACACATAAATTACTAAAATTCTATGGCACACCAAAAAAGATACTACTGACGACAAAAAAAAAAAAGGTATAATTTTGATTCAGTCACATTGGATGGCTATTGTTGTGTTGGTTGTTGTCACTTTTTTATTTGACAATCTAAAGGGCAAGAGGTCAATGCCCCTGACTAAATAGTCAGGTAATTGCATGTTTTAAAATTTCTTGCAGCACACTGCTTGAAAATTGCTGCTATAAGACTTTGGCTTCACATTAGCCATAGGTTTGCCTAGATTTTAAGCAAGGTCAAATTTGCAAAAAAGATATTTTGGCATAGTTAAAATAACTTTAAGAAAAAGTGTGTGCAGGGGGAAGTGGGTATTTTCATAGAACTCCCTTAAATACAATCCTCTTGGCCATTTATAAAGTGAGTTGAATTTTTAGGGACACATTTACTAAAGCCTGGTGTGATATAGGGTAGGAGCTTTGGAGCCATACTAAATAAACTCAGAATCATGCCAGATGTGTGGCAGTGCAGTCACCAAACTTTGCAGGGCCTGATTTCTCCTCTGTAAAATGAGGACCAGCTTATGGGATGCTGCAAAGATCCCAAATTTTAAACACAGTACTGTGCCTGGCACACAGTCCTCATCCAATAAATCGGATGACTATTAAGGCACGCGGGGGAAGGGTTGGGTTTGTTTTGGTACACATAGGCCCTCCCAACCTCTCCCTGCTCCCTCTGGGGCACTGAAAAACTCAATGATTTTCAGTTCAATATTTAGTGCAAGTTACAAAGTCAAGTAAACCAAGGCCTTGAGTAGCTTACAACTCACTATTTTCAGGGTTGATTTTTGTTTGTTTTTTAAATTGGAACAACTAAGGAGGCCGAGCTCTCTTTTTCCAGACTTGGGAACTCGGAGAGGTGCAGCCTCCGGCCAAAGGCGCGGGTGCCCTGGCCTCTCGCTACTTCCCGGGTTCCGCAGACTTCCCGCCCAAGGGATGGGGCCGCCAACTCGTCCCTGTCCCCTGGGCCGAGGGAGGGAAGGGTCCCAAGAGAGGCGCCCCCGCTCGCGTCCTCTGGGCCCGAGCGACAGCACTTACCAGTGCGAAGTGCACCAGGGCGTCGTAGCAGAGCCAGGCGAGAGCCCCGCGGTCCGCCGCCCCCCGCCCGCGGCCCAGGCGCAGGCCCAGCGCGCAGCCCGCGCCCAGCAGCCCGGCGCACAGCAGCAGCGAGCCAGCCGCGGCCCCCAGCTCCGACCCCGCAGCCATGCTTCCTGCCCCCGAGGCCGCTGGCCGGCCCCGCGAGCCAGGGAGGGGGCCTGGCAGAGAAAAGGTGGGGACGGGGCCGGCCTCCCGGCGGGCGGAGCCTCTCGCCCGGGGCGGGGGCGGGGGCGGGGGCGGGAGCGGCGGGGGCGGGGGCGGGAGCGGCGGGGGCGGGCAGAGGCTTTCCTTCCCGCCTAGCCTCCTGGCTAGCTTGCCCAGCCTGGAGGTTTTCTGGTCAGGATTGTGCTCAGGAACTCGCCTCACTACCTGTCCAAACCTGTCCCCAGACCACACCCAAAGGACTGGTAATATAGAGCCACACTTTTTGATGCAGTTTTATTTTTAACAAGGTTCAAAACCTTAAGCTACAAAGTGAAGTCCAAATGGTATAAATTTTGCCAATAGACTGGGTAGAATTAGGACAAAGGGTACTAATTAGGCCCTTGCAAATCTTGCAGGAGAGGTGAGGGCCAAGGGAGTTTTCGGCCACCAGCAGGCTTTTAAAATCCCTTGTGGCATCATACTCTGGTCTCATTTCTCAAAAATCCAGAAAAGCAGCGAAAGTATGGGGGAGAGGAGGAATGGGTCAAACCCACTTGGCACTAGATGCTTTCATCTCTGTTATATCATCGAATCTCACAACAGTTCTGGGAGATCAGTGTTTTCCTATTTTACAAATGAGAAAACAGGCCCAGACAGGCCCAGGACAGACTCTATACCTGGCTGTCCCCAAGGCGTTTGTTTTTTGACCTTGCACTCTGACATCTTAATAGGCACTTACAGCTAAGGAAAGTGCCAGAGCCACTTTATCCCAATCACCTGAACCTTTCCCTTTACTTTGTCCTCCTTCTCCTTCCCCCTCCTCCTTCTCTGCCCTCCTCCTCTTCTCTTCTCTTCCTCCTTCTTCTTTTTAAATTTGCTCTTAACCCTCTTCTCTGCTCCTTTAAAAAGATTGCAACCCTTATTGACTGTGCCTATGTTTTTAATTTTGGGTCGCCTGGTAAAATGCAAGATAAATTTAAATTTTAGATTAAAAATGAAGTAATTTAAAAGTATATATTTATATTAAAGTATTACTAGGGAACTTATGCTAAAAAGATTAATGTGGTATATACATACAATGAAATATTATTCAGCCATAAAACAGCAGGAAATTGTGACATGCTGCAACATCGAAGTACCTCGAAGACATTGTGCTAAGTGAAATTTAAGCCATTCACAAAAAAGACAAACACTGTATGATTCCATTTATCTAAGTTAACTAAAGTAGTCATATCCTAGAGACAGAAAATAGAATGGTGGTTGCCAGCTGCTGGGGGGGAAAGGGAATTGTTTAATGGCTATAAAGTTTCAGTTTTGCAAGAAAAAATTCTGGAGTGCTGGTTCACAACGTAAAAATATTTAGCATCTTGCACTGTACACTTAAAAATGGTGAAGATGGTAAATTTTATGTTATGTGTATTTTACCACAATCAAAAAACAACTTCTGGGACTGAACACAAGTTCAGTAACTTTCTACTCTGGTTACTCCCTATATAATTTTTTATATAGCAGATAACATTATCTTATTTATTTATACATTTATTGCTAGTCTCTTGCCACTAGAATCCAAGTTCTGTAAGGCTAGGGGTTATGTCTGGCTTGTTTACTGCTGTGTCCCTTGCATTTATTAGAGTTTGGCATATACTAGATGCTCAGTTAATTAACTGATGACTGAAGGAGTATGGCCAATTCTGTTAACTTAGAAAACTGATGATCATTCTTTTTTATATTCAACATCTTTCTCAACAGGATTTCCCCAAACAGAGTAAAATGAAAACCTAAGAAACTAATTAGATTCACTCTCTTCATGTTCTGCTCCTGCTCTTCAGTCCTTCCTACTCTAGTTTCCACCCTCTTTACTGCAGTGATACAGCTGTAAGGTGACCAGTGACTGACCTCTGCATCACTACCCTGAAGGACAATGCCTGTTCTTACCCTACTTGACCTCTCGACAGCATCACTGGACGCTGAAATCTCTTTTCCTTTGTTTTCTGAGAAAACACAGGGCTTTCTTTCTACCTCTCTAGCCGTACCTTGTTTCCTTTGCAACCTCACCCTCCACTACATACCCATGGAATGTGGGACCCCCACAGCTACTAGTCCTAAACCCTGTTCTCACTCCAAATGATGAATCCAGGCAGTCTCATTCCCACCCCTGCTCTAATAACCACCAGAAATAGGCAGAGGATTCAAATGTCTAGCCCTCTCCTCTGAGCGCCAGACCAGTATTTCCAACCGCCCTACTTGAAAGCCATTTAGATGTCTCAAGTCAACACAACCAAACTGCACTTATCACCCTCCATTCCCTGTGAGTCTCTGTGTTCCCTACTTATGTTACTTTCACTTATCAGTTACTGCCATCCAGAAACCTAGAAATCATCCTTGATACTCCCCTCTCCCTGGATCCAGACCTAAGGCATTGCCGATTCCTGTCCATTTTAGCTGCCAAGTATCTCATGGACCAAGCTGTTCACCATCTCTTGCCTCAGTGCTTTGCTCTCACTAATGTGATCTCTACACATCACTAAACCCAGAGCACATTTCCCATCCTTACCTTACCAGTCAGAGATTGTTATTAAACACAATTCTTTTTAATGCCATCTACCATTGCTCTTAAAATACCAAAATGCTTTATGTGACAGGCCAGGCTGTGGGTCTGATCACTACTTATCCCTTTAGCCCCACCCTTGCTCCCAGTAATCCTTCTCTCCATTATCTTTACTGTACTTGCTTTCTCTCATTTCCTGAATGAAAGGGTTAGTAGTGTTTTAAAGAATAAAGGTAAAAGCTTGCAAAAGGGGGAAACTGAAAAATTGTGTTGCTTGCATGACCTTTGTTCAGCCTTCTGTTGCATACAGACTATCTGGATTATTCACAAGATAATGAATCACCCAGCAGATGCAGGACGAGATACCAGACCAGTCCAACTGCAAAGTGGACACTGGGCCAGGCAGAGTACATCGCAGGAACTGCCAGAAGCTAAAAGTAAGTATATAACCTACACCCCAACTCTTAATCGGGGCTGACCCCTTTTTGGCTCAGCCCACCTGCACCCAGGCGCATGCAATAAGTTTGTTTTGCTCTATGTTGGCCTTGTGTTGTGGATCTGATCCCCCGCCAGCTCAGACCTTTTATTTGGTGCCGAAACCAGGCAGATCTGTGAGGATCCCACGTAGGGGGAACCGCAGGTCCCTGGAGTCCTCTGGGCCTCCTGTCGGAGCGGGATCAATCACATCCTCAGCCGGATACCAGACCTCCAAACTTTCCTGCCGATCCAGCTTCAACACCGGACACTAATTCACTGGTGAGTGTTTTTTTTATTTTTATTTTTTGCCTAGTGATCTGATTCTTTGGGCTGTCCTTTTATCCCCTGTCTGGGACATAAGAGAGTCAGGTTTCTCGGTCACATCTGTGTGATCATCCCTCAAAATCCAACGCTGGTCGGGACACACTTTTCGGGAACCAGGTTCCCTCACTCACCATATATCTAGGGACGCCTGATATGGGTGAGTTGCACGTCTCTCTAGGGGAAAAGGGGGGATGCCTTCTTCTTCCACTAGTGTATCCGTCAGACCGATAGGCTGAGACACCTCACACCACAACATGGGAAACACTCAATCTTCTATCCTTTGTGCAATACCCCTAGGATGTCTCCTAAAAAATCTACAGACCCTAGGGTTTGCTCAGGACTTTGTCCCAAGCGACTCATTTTTTACTGTAACACTGTGTGGTCTCAGTACAAACTAGACAATGGGTCACAGTGGCCTGAGAACGGCACTTTCAACCTTCTCACCAACCTAGACAATTTCTGTCAAAGGCCAGGAAAATGGTCTGAGGTTCTTTACATCCAGGTTCCTCTCAAATCTTCCTGCTCCACTCTATCCTCCCAAACCTCCCTCTGAAGATGGCTTGCTAACTTCTGTTTCCTCCTTTGACCCAGCTGACCTCGCTCCACCTCCTTCTCCCTCAGCCCCTGGGCAGGGCCTCCTCCTCCAGCCCCTACTGTGGGTCCCCACCCTACCCTGAAACTCCTACTCTGACTCTGACTCCTCTACCACTGCAAACAACTCCCTCACACACGTGATTGGTAACCATCTTTGGCCCCTATCCGTCCCCTACCTCAGTCCCCATTTTAAAATGTCCCCTGAGGGAAGCAGCAGGAGCTGAAATGATTGTCAGAGTTCATGTCCCCTTCTCTCTCTCAGACTTGTCCCAAATAAATAAAAGAGTAGGATCCTTTACTGAGGATCCCACCAGTTATACTCAGGAATTCAAGTACCTTACGCAGTCCTATGATCTAACTTGGAATGATAGTCATGTTATTCACTCTTCCACCCTTAATCCGGAAGATAAAAATCAAGTCTGGGTTAATGCCCAGGGCCATGCCGATGCTCTGAGGTGACAGGCCCCCATTTACCCCGTAGGAGCTGAAGCAGTCCTTAGCCAGGACCCCAGGTGTAATTATCAGGACAGTGGGGCAGGTAGGAAAGCCAGGGACCATATGATATGTCTCATGAGGGACTTAAAAAGCCTCACACAAGGCTGTTAGCTATGAAAAACTGTCTGAAATAATCCAGGAAAGGAGTGAAAACCCTGCAACCTTTCTATCCCACTGTATACAGGCTACTAGCCCAGAGGGACTGTCATTCTAAACCTGAGATTTATCTCTCAGTCGGCCCCAGACATTAGGAGGAAGTTACAAAAACTGGAAGATGGCCCTCAAACTCCTCAGCGGGAACTTCTAAATCTAGCCTTTAAGGTTTTTAATAATCGTGATGAAGAGGCTAAACAGCAAAGATGAGCAGAATTCCAAATGCTTGCCTCTGCCATCAGAGCCCCCACTAATCAAAGGGGTCAGCAACCCCCTTCAGGGGACAGAAGAAGGGCACCCACCAGAATCAGCAGAGTAGACCCCCAGGTCCCTGCTTTAAATGCAATCAGACTGGCCACCGGGTGAGGCAATGCCCCAATCCCTGACCACCGC